ATCTCAAAGTTTCGAGCTGGAATGAATAACTTCAACGAGCACAGTGTCTCCAAAACAAAACAGATTTAGAAACAAGCTCCGAAAGACAGACAAGCGGCAGAGATAACTCTTAGTTTGACTAACTAACTCCACTGTACTCCGTTCCCCCTTTCATATAATTTTTTAACCGCATCTACAAAATTCTCGAATTGTCTCAAAGACGACAGAACGTCTAGGATTCCAGACCTCGCGAATGCCAGCCAGTCTCGAAAACTATCGCGACTGGCAGGTCAGAAAGGAACCAGTGATCGGGGCTCGCCCGTAACAGTATCACGTGAATTTGGTTTCAAAAATACAACCCTATTATAGTAAATGTTTTATCAGTATTCTGAGAAATACCGTGAGAAAAAAAAGTAGGCATAAAGCAAATAAAAAGATATAGTCTTAAAAAATAATAACCCGCATAATTTCTAACAAAATTTTTATTTCTGTCTGTATTATTTTGTAAATTCACTTTGTCTGAGCTCAAGGGAACGGGTTTAAACCCCTAACCCCCCTCCCCTTGCGTACGCCCCTGATTTCAATCAAAAAACTAAAATTGGATACTTTTTTTTTATTAGAATGGATATATTATGCTTCATTACTTGGTTGGTAATAGCAAAAATGCCCTCTTTTAAGCATTAGTGCAAATACATGATTTTGGACAAAAGTTTCGAAATTGAGTTTTTTATAAATTTAAAATTTTTTATACTCTTAGCTTTCTAATATTACTTTACCTTTGTTCGTACTCTAATTATTTACAAAGTTATAGAAGTTTTTGTGCTAGGTTATAACAGAGGATAGACTAGTGATTTTAAGTCTTAAAATGCATTTATCTTAAAATCAGTTTTCTTCACATTTTACACTACCCTAAACACGATATCTCATGTTGTTTTTAAAATAATTGTCAAAGATTTTTCATGAGTGCTTATGATTATAGCACACATGTTTTGAACTAAAGACTAAGAGAAAATAAGTAGAATTTCATTTTTCATGCATGTTTTTTCGCAAAGACTAGAGTAGAAATTTTGAATTTTTTTTTTTTAACTACATTGATCCCTTACTCAGTACTATACATTTGCTTTTAAGATAATACTTAGCTGATAGCCTTCTAAATAAAATCCTCAAAGGATTTTTTGTTTTGGGTGATAAAATTTTTTTAACAGTGTTTAGCATATATGCAAAAAAGTGCCTTATTTTTACCTAAAAATGGACATTTAAAGAAAGAATTAATAATATAAATGAATTTTTTGCACATAATTAAACAAATAAACTAGTTTTTTGAAAAAATTATTAAACTAGTCAGATGCCTTAACAATAACGATTGTATTTTTTTTAATCCTAAGGCTTCAATCTGACTATAGAGAAATAAAAGAGTTACTTTTTATTATATAAAACAAAATTAAAAAAATCTTTTATGGATGGTTTATATACCTGTCGTTGAACAGCCAACCCTATTTTGGGTTTACGACTACTAATGCTCAACTCCGTAGCCTTGTAATTTTGAACCAATCCAGAAGACAAGGAAACTCCTGGATCAGTACCCCCAGAGGTATTGATTTGTTATGGGAACATGGAAGCATGGAAGACTTAGCTACGATTCGACAGACTTAACGTGCATCAGTCACCATTTACTACGCGGGGAGTCTTCGGCCAGCTGGGATCGAACCCATGAACTCTTGGACATGGGCCCAGTGCCCTACCAACCAGGCTATTTCGACCTTTGTATGGATGGTTGACCGTGTAAAGCTAAGCACAGATGACGCTAGGGGTTAAAATTTGCCGTAAGACTTCCGGGTTTCTACTTCCGATTGATTTTTACGCCCAAGCTTGAAAAAGGACGCCATCAAATATTTCTATACCTGTAGTGTTTACAATATAACACGTTCCTTCAATTTAAATTTCAACGATACAAACAACATATGTATTTGGAAGACTCGGTTAGCATACTATGCCCCATAGGATGCAACCCAAAAAATAACTAACAGTTACATTTTATACAAGTATAGCCAAATAAGGGATAACACTCAAAATATGGCAAACCTTACACTCTATTTATTTTGTGATATTAATTTTTTTGAATTTGTTTTAAGCTCACAACCAGGTAGAATTTATTAATAATAGGAGAGCCTTACGAATGGTAAAATTATGAGTAAATTTAAGCATAATTCACATTAATAAAACTTCCTAGAATATGTTTCACTGTAAGCATAACATAAGCGGAGGGATACACCGGAAGTTTTCTTAATTTCTTCCGGTTTTAGGAAACTTGTTATTGTTTACATTCAGTCAACCATCCAAACAAAAAGTGTTTTTCCTTTTTTTTTGTGGTAATCTATTATACTGTCCTAACCGTTACATTTTCTTCCACTATTATTATGAACGATTATGATGTGAAGAATATGCAAATGATCATATTTGGAATGTGGAAAAAGTCATTGAAAAAAAAAAAAAACTTAACTTTTCGTTTAGGTTTGAAGAAAGCTGCAGTTGACATTATGGATGAGATGAGTTACGGGAATTCGAAAGTGGAGTGATTCTCATATTTCCTTCTTCACAAAATTCCTCAGAATGCGAGAACTCTTTTGATTGAAAGAGTTGCTTATCGATTCATAGAAACATTCAATATTTAAGTAATTTCTATGAATGATTTATTTTGCATGTAAAACATAAATTTGATTAAAGATGTTTCAGACGTACTAAATTAGTTTTCTTCATATGTCTTTAATTAATGAGAAATAAAAACGAAAAGTTCTGAGAATTCGAAAAAGGAAATTCTTGAAGGAGATTGGAAAAAAGAGAAAAAACGAAAGGAAGGGAAAAAAAGGAGCCTATTTCTGTTACAACGTTTCCCAGTTATCTCCTTTTGGGCTTCAACAGTTGTTGGAAAAAACTACATTATTTTTGTAGTTTACTATGACTACTTTGTTACAAATGTAGTTAACTACAACAACTTTTATAAATGTAGTGACTACAAGTTACTTTGGAATTTAGTAACTATTTCACTACTTTAAGGAGACGATCGAGAACTTTTCTGAAGAACTCAATTAACACCCATGCTCAAAATGATTTTGAATAAGAAATTGGCATTAAATATAAGGGAATAATTAAGAAATACTTATTCATGCTTAAAAGAGCCCGTACCCGATTCATTCGTCATTGTTACAATTCGTCGGGAGCACAATTCACCGGGGGCATAATTCGCAGCGCGCAAAACTCGTCACAACGACAATCCGTCGTAGGCACAGCATAATTTCTTTCGGTTTCGATGAAATACACCTTAGTCCAGTAATTGTATCAATAAAAAGAGTGTTTCTTCGGAAAATTGACACCTAAAGAATTTTTTTTTGACTGAAAGCTTTGTTACGTCATTATAAATGATATCTGAAAACTCTCCTCTTTACGCTTCTTTCCTTTTTGAGAAAAATGGGAGAGAATTGAGGCATTGTTTCCGGTGTAATCCGGTGTGAAGTTGAAAATGTAGAGAAAACATGGAAAAAATTACAGAACAATGAAAAAAGGGAAAAAGAAAAATAATAATTTAAAAAATAATAAAAATCCGGGGGAAAAAATTTGAAAAAAAGAAAAAAAATTAATAAAATCTGGAAAATAAAAGAAATAATCTTTTCATCAGCTCACACGGTTATATCCGCAAAAAGGAGTGCTTACTAATATTGTATCAATATAGCCAAAGCAAAATATATCAATACAATAATGTGAGGAGCACTCAAAACAATTTGCAAAAAGTTTACAACAAATAAAATAGAACACATTAAGTAAAAATATCACTTAAAAACAGAAAAAAAAATGTAAAGAAAAAACAGAATGAAGCATAAAACGAAATCTATAAAGCGAGTAGTGAATTCAAATGAATAGAGGGGTTTTGTTTTATAGTGCGTTCTTACTGCAGTACTGAAGTGCGCTTGAAATGTTAGTTAGCAAAGATGGGCCAGAAAATGGATGTGCGCAAGGTAATATTATATTGGATAATTTAAAAAAGTTGATAATTAATAATTTTAGAAAATTTACTTTTATTTAAGGAAAAAAAAGAGAAAAGAAAAAGAAGCATTAATTGCCCGTTTTGCACATAATTTTAGCCACGGATTTGCCCGAAATGGATTTGCACATGGTAAAAATTATATAAATTAACAAAGAAGTTTTTTAGTAAATTTATTTACAATAATATACAATTAAGTCAATGATTTTATATAGAATTTAATTACTTTAGTTAGATATCCATTGTTTTTTTTAAATCAAATTTTGAAAGATATTGTCTGTTATTTTTTTTTGCTAAATAAACATTATTACATAGTCTTTTAATCCTATTCATTTGATTAAAAATGGTTTTTAAATAGATGTTCTTATAAACATTCGAATTCCAAGTAATTAGTTTATTTATATTAAAATTAAATTCATTTCTTTTATCGTATAAATCAACAAAGCAGATATTTTCTTTTTTATAATACCCAAATCCAAAAGACTGAAATTAATATTATCATCATGATTATGAAGCAAGATTAATTCCTCGGGGTAAATATTATTTAATAAAATCTTGAAAATTAAAGATAATTAAATCATCAATAAATCCAGAAACAAATTTAATATTAAGAGTATAATTTTTTTCATAATAATTCAAAAATAAGCTAGCTAAGAGAAATGAAAAATTAGATCCTTGTGGTATTCCATCAATTTGAAGAAAAATATCTTTCCCATTGAAAGGATAATTATTAAAAAGACAAAAATTAATTAGAATTTCCCAATAATCAAAATCGCAGCAGGCTGTAATACCTTTATTGTTTAGTTTTTAAACCCGTTAATTTAAATAACTGCACAATTTATAAGTATCAAGCTTTCTTTTTTTTTTTTGCATGTGTGTATAATGATGTGGAGATTGTTGCTGTTGACTTTATAGCTGAATTTATTCATTTTTTTAAAACTTTTTTTGACATTGATATATCTATGATTAAGTTTGATGTAATATTCCCTATTAGCATTTTTTGTGCCAATAAACTTTACGTCCAAACAATCATGCACAACCTTGACACTTTTTTGTAAATGTTATGTACCAGAAGATAAATTCCTTTGTGTGTGTTAATGTTAACCAGTTCAACAGCTTTGGTCGCCAAGGGTTAAAATTGTGTAGCAATTAAAGTAAATTTATTAGGTGATTACGATTAAAGTAAATTTATTAGGTGAACACTATTTTGATTGAAAAAAACTTTTTATGATCAGTAAAGCAAAATAAATAATGATTGTATGATTTAAGATAATAGATAATGTTTGTTCAACTTAAAAAGTCAACTTTCAGCAGTCAATTTTAGCATCAATTTTGACATTCTGATATCATAACTATGTAGCAATTTAAAGAGCATCTGTTCATTTATTCCTGATATAGGAAAGACTTTATTATAAGATATTGAGTGAAATAAGAGAAACTTCATAATTTTCAACTATAAAACTTTAATTAAAGAAAGTAGTTTTAAAGCAATTGGGTTGAAAGGCTAAGAACAAACACTTTTCTCTAAAACAATTCAACAATGTTTTGATAATAAAATAAAACTACTACGAATAGTTATCACAGCGAAAGTAATATTTTTATTTCAAATTAAGAAATAGTTATTACCATTCTGCAAGTGATAGAAATAAATAAAAATCGGTCAAACAGCTTTCAAACACACAAAATGTATAACAATATAATTAAACATGCTTGTACTTTTAAAGCAAATTACAAACAAAACAAAAAAGTTGTAACAAATGAGACAATTATATAATTCGGGCATCTTAAAAATTCTTTTGAAATCTTGAATGATGAATACTTCAAAAAAAAAATTGCAATTAGTTTTCTGTTTTGAAGGAGAACATAAATTGAAATACGCATCTCACTTTCGTTAATCCTGTTTTTTTTTTGGATCTTATCAAAATAGATAAATCATGTTAAATTAAGTTGCCTTAAGTTAGTAAATGTGCTTTTGTGCTAAGAAAAAAGAGCCCGCTTTGTGAGTTCACGCAGCATTCTTACAGCGTACAGTGTCATAATAGCAGTGGAGACATTGGCATAAATACCAAAAAATACGAACAGTGCTCAAAAAGAAAATAAGAGATAATTAAAATGAAGATGAAACTCAGAAGTTTCAATTTGAGCAGCATTGATTTTACAGCCATTTACGCAACCACCGTCCCAATTACTATTTACCGCAACTAAGAGCGCAAACAGACAGCCAGCACCAAAATATTAATAAACAAAACGTTCTATATGTATATAGACTCTTTATACCCAATTTATGTTTCGTGAATTATGAATTTACTAAATTGGGTCCATCTTTTTTTGAATAACTCTGCACTATACAAATCTGTTATGAAAAGCAATTGGAAAAGTTTCTTTTAAATAATTTTTATTTTCTAGAAAAAACTATATATTGTAATATAATTTTTTTACTTGTAATTTTAATTACTATGTAATTAATAATTTTACACAGTAATTAAAATCATAAGTAACAATTTTTTACAATAATTTTCTTACTATGTATGAAAAACTAATGATGGTGTTGCAGTTTTCCATTGTTGTCAATACCTTCTTATTGGCTGGAAAATCACAAGGTAGGATCTAGCTTTCCAACATTCTTTTTCATATAGGATTGGTTGTTATCAGTATAAAATTTATACAGGTCATAAAGATATTGTTTTCTCATAAATATTTTTGCATCCCTAATTTGTTGTTGACATATGCTTGCTTAGGCAGAGGGGGTGCGATAGTTCTTGATTTCTAGTGGCGCCATCTATGGCCAATAATTCGACTTCTGCCACACTATCCGTTTATAGGGCGGACCCATTCATACATCCATTCATTCATCCACAGATCGTAATTTTGACCTGAATCAGAGAACGATCGATCTCCAATCCAGTACCCCCATCAGAGGTATTGATTTGTAATGGGAGAGTTTTCGGCCTTCGGGGTTCGAACCCGCGAACTCTCGGACATTGGCCCAGCGCCCTACCGACCAGGCTATCCGGGCCCTGTATTCCTAATTTAAAAGTTAAAATTACCTGTACTGTTATTATTACGTTTTAGATTTTGTTTGATTTTTAAATTAAGAGTTTAGGATTATTATTATCATTATTACGATAATGTAATTCTATGTTACATTTTAAGATACAGTTATTTAAATCGATATCTGATCTTATTTACCGTTTTACAATTATTATATTTTGGTGCAAATTACATTAATATACACTGGTGTGCAAAACTTAAGCAACAAGTGCGTTTTTTGTCATAACTCTACAAGAAATCCTCCGATTGACATGAAATTTGAATATGATGTACATTATTTTGTACTTAAACGATGGTGAAAGAATAATGGCGCAGAAATGAATATAAAGCTTTAAGTAGGGTATGGAACAAAAAAAGGCTTCATTTGACATATAGTNGTTAAACCTATTAGAAATGTGCTATAGTATAATTCGTGATATAAATCAAAAATCGTCAAATAAATTCGTAATATATATAATCGCGAAAAAAAGGCGCTTTCGACAAAATACTAAAATAGAGATCTATCGACAAAGACTACTCACTTCTGCCTAGCTTAATAGTATGAGATTGACGCAGCTGATGCTCTCTGGTTATTTCAGTTTCCGTTTTTAAAAGCGTTATATGTTGAGCCACCTCAGCTTGATTTGGCATGTGACATT